AAAAGAAATTAATTCTCATTAGTACAGTTGCCTCAAAGCGCAGTGTTATCTTAGGTCTTCGAAGCAAAGCAAACAATAGTAACAAAAAAGGACTGTATATAGCACTAACAGAAGAACAGGTGTCCATTCCTCTGCCGTTTCTGCCTCTGCCATCCTCCCGGTGCAGCACGACTACCCGGAAGAGGGAAGAGCAGAGCCTGCACCCAGCCTCACCTCTGCACTCAGACCTGTGCTGTCTACACCCACGTATTTGAAAGATCTCTCCCATGTCTCCTATGCTGTCCTGCTACCTGCTTTGGATTAGTATTTTGCCAGTCAGAGCTATCTTCCCTCTAAAAGTAACTTCCTATATATACACTGTTCTCTATCTGATCTCCAAGATTAATTAGCCATTTATTATATTCACCCCTTCTTCCTCTCTGAAGTCCTCTCATGCCATACATCATCTCTCCAAACCTTTCTCCCCCTCCCCGTTCCCATTGTTACCAACTTGGCCAGCCTCCCCAGCGTACTGTTCCCAAGGGCCCCACCAATGGATGGAGACACCGCAGCAGCTAGCAGCTATTGGTGCCGTAGTCATCGATGCAGGTTCCAAGCCTGGCAAGTAGGGGATTGTAAGACAACCACGCAGCAGTTGCTTCAAACACTCCCTAAAATGCATCTTCTCTCCTTACATCAAATCCAGACCCAACCTTATTCCCTTTTGAGGGCCCCCCGTGGCTTTCATCCAGCCCACGTCTCCTGACGCAGTCAGCCCCCCTTGCTTTATAGCTATTGCCTTTTCCCCTTGCACACAGACCCCGTGGGCGCGTGTTTCCTACCGCTGCTGTGGCAGAGCCAAGTAACTGCAGCGTCCTCCTCCCAGCTCACATCCTTCCTCTCCATCGCTGACTGATGTCATTGCTGCTTGTCCCCAAGTAACTCCATAGATTATGGAGTCCAGGAGACTGCACAGATGATGTTTTATCCAGGGGAGCAGAGGAAGGGACAGAGCACATGCAGGGGTCTGTGCCTGCATACAGTGCTATTGAAAGTAAAGGCAAAAAAATACCTTGCCTAGCCTCATGCAGCAAGTCTGCACATTAGACCAGGGGACTTCACATGGAAGGCACTGCACCACTGCAACGTATTCGCTAATGATCTGCTAGATCTCCAGCCCGTAAGGCCCAAGCAGTTAAAAAAATACACGAGATTATAGATTCACTTCAAAAGAACTTTTTTTTTAATTTAGAAATGCAGTTATATACATAGAACAATTAAATTAAACTTTGTACAAATATTAAAATACTATCTTCACACCCACTGCAATGTACAGGATACCAGAAAATATATATAAAGCAAAATAAAACCAATTGAGTGACATCCTGCACAGCGTCAATTATGGTTTTGTTTTTAAATCCCACATATATATGGAGTACCATTCTGCAAATAATTCCATAGTGGCGCAATTCAGATAAAAAGAAAACACATACAGGAAAGAAAAGATTAATTTATAAAGGCATTCAAGCTCCCCTTGCATTTGCCTCAGCAACTACCAGCAGTCTACCCACCGCATCATAGGACATCTGCTTCACAGACAACTTCGCTTTCTTTTGGAAGGAAACAAATTTGAGAATCGGAACTAAAACGTTTTCCAGCACAACTCAGTTGCCTCTGTCCTTGCTTACCCCAGGACAGAAGCAAAAGCACAGCTTATGGAACGCATATGCAGAGCATCAGTAGAACCCGTTCTGGTGGGTACAAATATCCGTACATCATTTGCAGAGGGCTGAGTTTGGAAGCAGTGCTGAACCCAGGACCCTGAAGAGAAGTGTGGGAAGCGGCGTGCTCTGTCCTGGTGCGGAAGGGCAGGAGGAGGGGACAAAGGATTGAAAGGGGGCTTATTTCCTGTATAAAAATATGCCTTAAAATTAAGCCTGCTCTAGGAAACCTCTCTGCGCTTTCGAAGCGTATCATAGAGAATAAATGTTTTCTAATGAAGTTCTTCTGCAAACAAAGGTGTTCACAAAGAGCAAGTTCAATCTGCAGTTCCCTGGTAAGGACTGAAGGGTGAGGGTGGGGTGAGGCAGGATGTGCAAAATGGATAGGATTTATTGCATTTATATACAGAAACCAGAAACTGAAATTGATTTAATTAGTTATCTAGATAGAGTAATAAGGCAGATTTTATGTTTTTTTTTTTTTAAACAACTGCTATCGGAACAGTAAAACCAGGTTTTGCAAGTATGTTCCAAAGAGGTCAACAAGGAAATCTCAGTGTGTCCAACCAGCTGTACGTTAATACTTTTTTATACAGCAAGCCTGCTGGTGTCTGCTAAACCATCTAAACAAAGCACAAGCTTCCTTACAACCCAGTCATGAATGCACCGGCCCATTAGCCTGCAGCATACCTCTGTTCTCAGTCACAGCTCTTCCTTACCCCCCACCTTGTGTTCCCTTTTCCATGCTGCAAATGACTTAACCATCCCAGACTGTTTCCAATGGCTGAGCCTGTTGCTCTCTTAGCCCCACTCCTCAGTATTGACCCAAGTCATCCACCTCTGGGAGCATCTCAGGATGTTTCCTCCCAAAACAAGTGGAACAGATTTCTTCCTAACACACCTGACTTCTCTGTGTGCTCAAAGGCCAAATAAAGGCTTCAGATGCATTGAAAGAATCACCACACCAGAGCTGAAAGGCCAGGGAGAAACCTCAGGGGAGACATCCAAGGGGTGAACAACAAGCAGCATGCCTGCTGAGTAAGCTGCTTCTACGCAGCAAGTTCCCTGGTGGTTAAGGATAAAAATGCATTAAGCTCTTCTCCCTCCCAGTCTCATGAAGTTTTAACTCAACGACCACAGGCTCACACGCTGCAGCACGTCTCTCCTCCTGACTTAATTTTTTACCTCTTCTACAGTTAATGATGGGGAGATGCAAGCTATTTAAAACCCAAACACACAAAACCATCTCTCTCACCAATGCCGCTGACCTCCTTCAAGGTGGCAGGAGGCTCTGACACAAATCGTTTGAGCTGAGCTTCATGACGCAGGTCCTGACAGGAGACTGCCCCGCTTCCCCATGGGTACTGTCAGCTTCACTTTCTGGTTCTCTCAGACTGGTCCAAGGTCTGCAATGCTTGGGCTGTAAACACTGCAGGAGATTGCATTTTATTTATTTTTTTAAAAAACTATGACACTGAAAGGGAGCAAGGAGGTTTTTTCTATGGCACATAGTACTTTGAATTTCTGAAATGCCCTTTTAATTTTTTAACCTATCAGACTCCAAAAATAACAGTGCTATTTTTATTGTTCCAAAGTAATTAAACAATTTTAATGTTCTTGAATATCACAGGATCCAGCATGTATGACAGAACATGAGATGATTATGTCAGGAGCGTTAAATAAGGAAAAAAGCCTCCCTTTGAATTCTTTTGCCAGACATAGGTGGGGAAAAAAGGGTAAGGAGGCTGAAAAAACCCCAAACAAAACAAAAGAAAAAAATCATTTGCTGTGTTACATCTTGCAAGGCTGAGTCCCTGTGCTCCCCATCCACCGCGGCGAGATCCAGGCTGCATCTACCTATGGCAACAGCCAAAGAGGACACACTCTTCACTCAGAGGTAATGAACGCTCCTGAGATAGAGCGGAGCTCACGACTGAGGGATCTTTAAGCCTCAGCCCTTGCTCCCGTAAGTACAGGACTGTGCAATTTAGTTTTTCCTAAATCTCTGCCCAAAAGACTTCCCAATCCTTCAGCCTCCACAGTATTAAAACATGAATGAGTAATAATCACTTGATGATCAGTAGTGAGGCCTTGCTCCCCCTCCCCCTTGAAAAAAAATTGTCAAGCAGACATCTCTCAGGTTCCTCCCCAGCCATTCTACCTCATTTTATATGAAAAGAAATTATAAAGCTGAGGACGTGGGCAAGAGGAATGTGATGCCCCCAAACTGTTTTCCATGTTCTGGCTTGCACGGGTCCTCGGGGCCTGTTCCCACGAGTGCTTGCTGCCGGGGACAGGCTCTTCTGCAAGCACTGGAAGCATCAGCTGGTGTTACCAGCCAGCACAGCAGAGGCTGGCCTGGGAGCTGCTGGTTTACCCTCTCAGCAAGCCAACAGAAGCTGCCTGTTTATGCCTGATCACAAGATGTATGCTTGCATACTTCCCTCCACCTCCGCATTTCCCCCCCTCCTTAGTAAAGCCATTTCCCACAATTTCTATAAATGAAACAGAATTAAAGCACTCCCTCTTCTGTGCAGCTTGCTTCCTTCTCTTCCCCACCCAAATTGAATTTTCTCTCCCAGACTGGCAGCTGCTTGCTTTACAATAGCAGAGAGAGGAGGCAGGGCCACACGGTACGTGCTTTCTGCTGGCGGAGCAGGCACTCGTCCAGGGCAAGGTCAGGCCTCGGGATCAGCTTCCAGCTTCGTTGTGGGATTCTCCCACCAACCCGGTGCTAACACTGAGTTAAAGGACTGTCCCTTGCAGAAAGACAGCACGTACCTGACTTCTACACCTTGACTGCTGAGGGTCTGTTCGAGTAGACAGGACCTTAAATGCATAAAGAGCAACTCCTGCTCCGAGATGGCTAGGTAGCAGGAAAGAAGTCAGGTATTCTTCCCTCTGCACTCCCTTACCACCACACTCGCTCAATCCCTCTGTCTGCCCTGATAAACCAGTGAATGGGACAATTTGCTCAGGCTTAGACCATTTCCAAGGTAGGAGTTAAAAACCAAATACAAACGTTCCCATGCTTATTTTCTAAAATTCCAGTAGCAGGTGCGTAAACAACATTTCCCACTACAGTGCTTGAAGCTGAGACACCGCAGCCCGCTGTAAAATGACATGGGATTTTCACCATCCAAACCGAACAAAAAATACCCAAACCACCCAAATGGGATTTATCAAATCCTTGTGTTAATGCAAGGTAACATGAGCAAAAGGGAAGAAAGTTTAAAATACTGCATTTTTAAATTAATAACATCCCTCTAAAACAAGGATAGGGAAAATAGGATTCTTCCACCCACAGGCACACGCTGTCCCAGGTGTTCTGGGATTTAACAACTGATCAGGAACAGGAGCAGCGGGTACACGGCTGGACACTATGGCCAATCCCCATTTCCAGGAGCTGGAGCTAAGCCACAGTGATTTTATATATAAAGGTGTTGCGTCACTTTTACCAAATGCTGTGACAGTATGTTCCTGGAGCAACAAGGATGAGGATAGTGAGGATCATAAACCAAAAGCAAAGCAGCAAAGACAGCATCCCTATTCACCTGTACATTACCACATGATGTGTAAGGCCATGACATTTTGCTCCTTCAACTCAAATAAAAATTTAGCAGCTTCTTACAGGGCAAACACTTCCCCAGTTACTTCAAGACAGTTATGACAAGGTACATGCATCTAAGAAGCCAACTCTTCTTGCTGAAACCAATCCCACGGAACGGTGTCCAGACCTCCCTGGTGAAGAACCTTACAACCACCAGAATGCTTTTGTGATTGGATCACCTATCCCAGACAAATGTGGCTTCCTGCAAAGAGAGAGTTCTGTTAACAGCAACCAGGATATTCTGACCTGTTGTAGATAACTGTTGGGGGCAGAGGTATACGTATTTTCAGATTTTCTTTTCCCTGCTACCAGAACTTGAAACAATCTTCAAAACTTAGGTTCAGGAATAAGCTATGGCGTCCTCTGGCACTGCTGTCAATGTAGCCAACCTTCCCTCACAGCAACAGGCGTTGTATTTAGGAGAGACTTTATATATGCTGCTTATCCCTAGCCACAAGGAAGAAGCCCTTCTCTGTGGGCCCACTGAAGCCCATTAGGATATAACAGCAGACTCTTGCTGTATGAAGCTAGGAAGACACGCTAGCCTCTGAGATGGTAGCTACCCAGGATTCAAGTACCACGGTACCTAGTGTGGCTGGAAAGGTAATTTGGGATTGCACCAATGGCACTAGGCATTCACTACCTACAGGCATTTCTTCTCTTGACATTTTCAAACACCTGAACCACTTCCAAATTACATCTCGAAAGCGTTACCTCTGCCTGAAGATGTGACCAAAGGAACCTAAGTTTTAGTGCAGAACCACCTTAACTGAAAAAGCTTTGAGACACACAGCTTACTCAAAAGAGCAGGGCCACAAATTTGGTTCCAGTCCTGATGCCTCAGTGAATGGGGCTAATTCATAGTTAACACAGGGTTGGTTAACTGAAAGTCACATCCTCCAAGCTTTCTGGACCCTGCTAACCACTGGCCATTTTCCAAGGCTCTTCTACAACCTAACACCAGCAGCTCCCTGGCACCAGACCAAAGCTGAAGGGGTTGTTTTATTGGCAGTACAGTCCCAGTCCCAGCTTCTAGAAACACAGCATAATCAAGTGGGCTGCACGGGTAGAGAAGGAAGGAGGAGACAAAAGTGATTTTCAGGAATGGACTGCTGCAGAGATGGTTTCTGAGAAGGGAACAGAGGGCATTCCTACACGTTGGACTTCTCAGCCTTCAGCGCTCTAGCAATTCTCAACGAACTGTTATTGCACAGCTAAGTTGTCACACAGCCCATCTCATTTGAGGCGCTTCTAGACATCACAAGCTGCCCCTTAACTGGGATCCCTCCCAAGCCCCGCTTCAGTCCCAGTGAGGTGTTTTGCCCTGCCCTACCTATCACAAAGAGGATGCCGGAAGAAGAGCCTATATAACATATATCCATATATATAAACTGTGTCTGCACCCGGTGAGCAAGCGGTTTTAGCCCCTGCTCTCTGGGCAGCGGAAGGGCTAGAGAGGCTGATAAACTGCAACAAGCCGGTGTGAGGAGGAGAAAGGCACGAGAAAAGAGCAGCTCTTCAGAGACTGCTGTCAAACATCTGGCTGGGGAAGAGGAGAGGAGAGCTCAAATCCATTCTGTTCCTTGAGCCCCTGATGCTGATGTAATGGGGAAGCCAGCGCTGCACCAACTCCACTGGTGCACCCAGGAGGCAACCTGGCGACATCCTTTGGATCTTCAGCTGAGGGCGTCTCTGCTTGGAGGTATCCAGGGCACAGCTCGCGAGGACGGGGAAGGCTGCACAGAGTGCTTCTGTCCCGAAGGCAGAGGGAGGGGAGGAGGAAGAAATCCAAGAGGGAGAAGGCTAGACAAACACAGCAGGCCTCATGCTTCCTTCAGTAAGGGAATATCTGAATGGTGGGGAGAGAAGAAAAAGTAGTCAAACTTTTGCAGTTCAACACACACCAGAAAAACTACTGTTGAAAGCAAGACAGGCTCCCACTTCCGTAACGCGATAATGCAGTGGTCTTCCTGTCATCACAACACAGCAGAAGGGACCTCTGGAGGACTCTGCTCCAACCTGCCCCCACAAGCGGGACCATTGCCGGCTCCAGCCTTGAAAATCTCCTCAACTTTTGCTAATAGTTTTTTTTTCATTTTCCACATCAAAAAAGAAAGAAACAAAGAAATTCAACATACAGAAATTCAACATACAGAAACATGAATAATATAGCTCAGAAATGACCTCCAGAGGTCATTGAGTCCAACCTTCCATGCCAAGTAGGGCCAACTAGAGAAGGTTGCTCAGGGCTGTGTCCAGCTGAGTCTGGAATATCTCCAAGGACAGAGACTCCACCACCTCTCTGGGTACCCATCTGGCCCTGCACTACCCTCATAGCGCAAAATATTTTCCTAATGCCAAATCTGTCAAGTTACAGCTTGTGGCCATTGCCCCATGTTATATCATCTGGCTGAGAAGAGTTTGGCTCCATAGTCTTTTCAACTCCCTGTAAAGTAATTGTAGTCAATTGTTGGCTTGGCCCTCAAGCTGCTTCTTCACCAGATTAAAGAAGCCCAGCTCCCTTAGTCACTTCCCACAAACCCCTGGCTATCTTGGCAGGCCTCCAACAGAGCCTGTCCAGCTTCCCCACATCTCTCTTGAACTGGGGGTCCCACAAGAAGATACAGTATTCCCAGTAAAGCCTCACCGATGTTGTTTAAGTGAAGGTAATAACTTCCCTTAAGAATGACAGTTTCCTGCTTTCCCATGACCTCATCAATCTTTCAGTTCCTCAAAATGTCCAAGACACATTTCTTACTGTGACAGGGATGGTTGGAAATACAAGCATCACACTTGCCTTTATCTAACTTGAAGAAATGCAACCTCCTCCAGTAGCTGCAGCTTCCTCATCTTTGAGCCATAAGCACAAGCTTTATGGTCTCCTGCTGCAAGGGGCAATCTGCTACTGTACAACAAGCCTTAGAGGCAATACATGTTTTCAGGCAGTGATAAAAGTGACATAGTGCAGAGGCAACATCCTCTAATTTCTACGCTGCGGACATTTTTTGTTAAGCTTCACTTTTGGATTTCTGCTGTTTATGCACTTGAGGTTTAATGCCCACCTCAGGACATGTTGCCATTTCCACCCTGTAGCGGAAATCCCCTCTAACTGTTTTTATTGCAAGGGTTCTGGGTGGTGTTACTACGGCTGTAGGCTTGACACCATGGAAAGGAGAAGTTCTGCCCTGAGCTATCTACAAGCCAGTTACACTTCTTGCCTAAGACACAGCAGTCTCTGCAGAAGCAACCTTAAGCTGCAGCTTCACATCAGCCCTGGCACTGTAAAGCCACTCCTTCAGGGCAGAACAGAAGTGAAGAACGCCAAGATGCACTGACTGTTTAACGGACTTGCCCCTCTGCCCTGTACAGTAAGTTCAAGCACATCCCTTTTAGGTCTTCCCGCATGCCAAGGCTGCAGCACTGTATGCAGGAAGCTGCTTACTAAAACAGTCTAAAAATGAAGAAGCCCAAACATGACAAAGGGTTTGTAGTGCAAGCATATCCTCCCACTCCCACCAACTTGTTTTCCACAAACACAGCTATTTTACTGCATTTGCACTGTGACGCCGGAGGCTGGCATTTCTCTGCAAATCCTTTGCTAAGACAAGAAGAGTGAGCAGCAGAACCTCAACAGTCTTTCCAGACTGCCCTAGGCTCCCAGTCTGAGCGCACCGCATACTTCAGAAGAAGGTATTAAATACTGCTTGCACATCTAAGTTGTGAAACATGCCATGGAGACTGGGACATCTCTTCTCAAAAGCTCCTATGGTGCCTGACATAGAGGCATTCCTTGCCATTTTCATCCTAGGTAGTCAACTGCAGAACCTACTCTTACAAGGGTCTCATTCAGTGCTCCTTGCCCAAGTCACGTACCATCTGTGTATTCCTCGGAGGAAGTGAGTGATAAAAGGCTCTGTATGTCACTGCTTTCTGAATCTTGGACCTCTTTGTGTACAGGTCTACTGCTAGCCATGCCAGCTACCCAGGAAGAGGTAGCAGCCTGATGCACAAGAACAGTTTCAGAGCGCTGAGAGCCACTGGCTTCACACAGTCCAGAATGTCCGGGGGCTTCATCTTCTCTTTCAAAGCTATTGCGAGCCCCTTGGTCCTGCTGCTGCATTTCTCCGGCTCCGTTCTGCCCAGCTCCCTCCGAGAGCACGATCTGCACCCGGGAGTCCGAGGGTGGAATGCAGTTCCCCGTGCTGCCATACACCGCTTCTTCATAGGATGGCAAGGCCACTTGGACACCATCCACCATGATAGAGACCTGATCTCCAGACACACCTTGGTCTCGCCTCAAAACAAGAAACAAAGTGTCAGGGGGGGGAGAAATCAAGTTGAGCATTTATATTTTTATATATATGTTACTGAGAACTCCAGTAACCTTCCACAGCAGAACTCTTAATTCTCAGCATTGACTTATTTAGGGGAGAACAGACAGAAACATGAATGGTAGTTTAACAAGGCCAAGCAAGCGTAGCCTTGCAGCCCTTCTGTGAATTGCCTAAACATGAGCACGGGCTGTAATTCACAGTGCCCAACGGATTTAGCAGCAAGAGCTGAAAAGGTTACAATGCTTCCCACCTCACCTGCCTCCATAGCTAAATCTGACAGAGATCACGACGCAGAGCCCTCTGCTGCCACAGCCAGCAGACAAAAAAGAGCTCTGACCACCACTGATTTCAGCTTGTTACACTGCTATATTCTGCAACACCCAGCACTACCTGTTCTGCCACCTTTGCTGCTGGCAAGATAACCTCTGGCGGGTGGGGCAGACAGCTCTTAAATGGGCACAGTGTAAATCACCTAGGCTCACGAGTCAGAGTCCCGAGACTGAGTTTTTCTTTTCCAGTGGTTTGGACTTCTTCAGAAAAGAGCAGACTCCAGGGCCCCACCTCTCATCCTCCCCACTGCTGGACAGCCATGCCCCTGCTCTTATTTAAGGAGTACTAGTAGCTAGTTTGGAAGAGAGGGGCCACAGTGACTTTGTTGACCTCAGCTGGCAGCAGTGTTATGGCTGGCTCCCTCCTCTCATCCACAAACCCAGCCAGGAGGGTTCTCCTCCCACAGCAGGGAACAATGGCAGATTTGCATGTGTATCTAATCAGCAGTACTGCCTGAATTCGTGTCCATAGGATGTCACAAACAGACTGGGGGAGATGCATATATATATATATATATATACACGCACCCAGACACATACTTCGGTAGCTATCCAAGGCTAGAAGAGGCAGGAGGTTGATCTATAGTCAGGCTAGTAGGGATCATAACTTTTCACATTCAAAGCCAAGGAAAAAGAGCAAGGAAACGATGGCATGTTACAATGGGGACTGCAGCTGGGTATCACAGACCACCATTTCAGGCTACTGCTGGACCATGGGGCGGAGGTGCCACTGAGATGATTAAAACAGGAGCAGAGAAGCGAGGAGTTAAGTTGCTCCAAAATGAAGGCCTAAACCAAGTACCTTAATGGGTTTCTGCTGCAAAAAGAAACAGGATGCCTCCGAGCCCCTTCCAAACCCCAGCTACACTTACCTGCTATGATGGAATGACTTCAGCTTTGGCTGCAGCAAAACAAACAGCACAACTAAGAGCAGAATCAGGGCGACAGAGCTTGCTGTGGAGGCTACTATGGACAGCGTGGGTACTCCAATTGTTGGAGGAGAGTCCTTTTCTACAAAACCAAGAGGAACACAAGGTTAAATGATCCGCTCCCTTAAATCACTGCCACAGGGAAGGAAAAACATCCACATTGCCTGCTCTCAGGAGTTACACTTGGGTGCACAGGTGAGGAGACCAAGTTTCCCATACAGTCAAGGCACACCAGCTATCTCTTATAGAGGACAGTTCAGAGCTCAAGCTGACATGTCTCCATCAGCTGTAAACAGAATCTAAAATAAAACATGCACATACAAGGGTCCTTTGGAAAAACACAAGGCAAACAGAAAAGCAGAGCAAGCAGGCCATGGGAACTGATAGATGGTGGAAGGGTCATGTTATGTATAGATCTGGCCGAGCAAAAGCTAAAACGTCCTGATGTCACCAGCAAGGCCAGTAATTGTCTAACACAATAAGCAGGATATTTTAGGCCAAACAATAGGAAAAGTTCCAAATAATGGGTTTTCTTGCCTAATGGAACAGCCTTCCAAAGGAAGAGGTGGAAGTCACCTGGCTGGGTATATTTAAGACACAGCAAGTATTCAGTTTCTCTCTCACACAAACATATACCAGGGAACAGAGAGGGAAGGCAGATGTTGTTTCAGGATGCTGAGTTTTCAGTGTTAGATACATGTGCCCTGTTCACATTACTCCTTCATACCCTTCCTCAGCTGTGCCGTGTGACTGTACAGGAACCAATTTGGCTTTTAAAGGTCCCTTGCAAGACAGGAATAAATTGGGAGTGGAGAGAGAATGGCCTGGAGCTGGTATTGCTGAGCACTGCATATCATGCCTAGAATGCTACACTAGGCCTTTTACCTCCCTAGAACAGTAACTGTCCGCATATGTGTTGCCTCTGTCCCTAATTTATGTCTTTGGTAGAGATCTGAAAAACCTCACCACCCCATCGGCAAATACTGTCATGCATTTCACATTCAGGACATTCCCATGTATGCAATTCCTCAATTCCTTTTTCCTACATTCAACACATTCTTTGAGAGCACAGGTCTCAGACTGCAGGGGGATGCAGGACACACATGCAGGTAGGGATGACAGGAAGAAGAGCATGCAAACAGAAGAAAAAAGCTAGGACCACTGTTTTTAAGCCTACAGCCTGAAATCTATGCCCAAAACAGGCATGTAAGCTGGAAAGCCAGTTTGCATTTTCTGCATCTTCTCTCGGGGTCAAACCTATTGGTTTAGTTGTTTCGAACTTGTTTTCCCGAAATTCTTCAGAAGTAGCTTGACCTCTCCCCAGGAAAAAAAAAACAACAATGTCTGGTACATTTTTCCCTATGGCAAATAGGGTTGAGCGAGGATTTCCATTTTCAACATTACTCAGGGCACTTTGAGTACGCTGACAGGGAAGAGGGTAGGCAAATAAGGGTGCTCCATTTTCAGCATCAGTACATGATGCTGTAAGACTGCTCACTACCCAGGATACCTCTAGCACATTCACCATCTCATATTGCAACAAGATGCTCACTAACTCATACAATAAACTGCCAAAAGGCTATGGGGCTGACCGGCTCAGAGCTACACAAAACATCTGATAACTGCTATGGATTTCATTTACTCTGTATGGAGCAGGTGGCATCGTACCCATTACCAATCATTTTAAGACCTACTGCCTTTCTCTCTACAGTCCTCAACCTCCTCTTCCTTTTAGCCCCGTGAAAGAGACCTGCTAGTTAAACCTCAGCTGTCTCTGACCCTAACCAATTGTTTCAAAGCCTGTGCTGTGAAAGCAATGGCTTTTTCACTGGTCAGACTTTTGAGGCCCCATATTTGATAAGGCCACTGATCCTTCAGGATGCTAAAGAAATCCAAGGGATTTCTGCTCATCACAACACAATCCCTTCAGCCCTGATGTAGACCAAGTGCCACCATGAAGGAATGCCACCCAGGGAACACTACCTGCAATAGCAGAGCTTTGTTCTCCAGCCTGGGTGCAGCAAGGGGAAGGGGGACCGCTGTGGAAAGGAAGCTTATGCTGAACTTGAAAAGCCTCTTCAGTATCTAGTAGCTGCCAGATAAACTCCCAGTTCCCTTCCTTATACATCATAGGAAGGGGCTATTGGAGTGGCTGTGACAGAGACACTGAGAAGACAGCGTCTCTGGGACAGGACAAGATGTTCCAGAGATCATAGGTATGCAGTGAGCTCTATAAAGAGCTTCAAGAAAGTGCTTTTCTGTTTCCTTCTGATTAAGCTAACAAATTTTGCATTTTGGATTACGAGACCTAATTCTGGAATGTACACCTTGCTGACTCAGGATGACTGAGCAGTAAGACTCTATCAACAAGCCAAACTTGAAGAGGGGAGGGAGTTCTCCCTTTATCCAGTATGCATGCTTTTAAAACCAGAAGGGCCGTAGGCAAACTAAGAGCTGTATGATGAACATTTTCCTGCAAACCTTTTTACTGTCCTGCTTTGACGGAAGAATTCCTGTTCAGCTGGGAGAGACCCACAAAACAAAAGCTGTCCATTTCCATTTGGAGAGAAGCAGAAATCATTTGTCAGCAATGTCCTTTCCTGCCAGTACGGTGAAAAGCAGCACCATCAAGCTCTTTGCCACAGGAGGCCAACAGTTACTTAACCTGTTTGCAAGAAAGATTGGCTCTACAAACACACACGCGCACAAGCGGACAGACGGGTACACCACTGAGGGAGATGTACTGTCAAACCCATCAGAAACAAAACCAGACAGCATGGAAAATGCTTCAGTTAGGATCTCCCCCATTTCTGGGATGAGAGCTGTCAAAATAAGCGGTTCCACAGAAGTAACAATTTGCCTCCTTTATACTCCTTTTCATGGGTTTTCTCCTTGCGTGAGGGACTCTGAGCCTGCATCTGATGGGCAGTTACAGAAGAGACATTTTTAATAAAGAGCTGTGATTGTGAGCCGCATTTATGAAATTGCTGGAGCAATGAGAGGCAGCTGTATGAACGTCCTCAGCATCACACTGACTCAGTGTTTAAGGATAATTTGAAAAGCCAATGGAAGGACAATTCTGACTGTCCCACTGCAGTCAGAGAGCACTCACCCGGGCTGAGCCTGCAGCTGACTTCCATGGCTGGGTTCCACTCTCCATTCTTGCAGGTCAAGTATTTATAATCTCCTTTCAGCATGTAGCCTTCGACGCACAGATACTCTATGACACTGCCTGAAGTCAGAGGGTTGTTGCAGGGGCTAGGGTGGCACTTATAGCCTCCATTCTCAGGCTGTGGTGGCTGGGGACAATCTGGAAAAAAACAGAAAGCATCATGGAGGATCTCAGAGGAAGACATCTGTTGCACAATAGATACAGCACATAGGCAGACTTCCACCTACGAACACCCACTAAATTAAGTAACTACCAAAACCAAGAAGAAAGACTGCTACACAACAGCAGAAACACTGCTCAGTTTCACCTCTGATAAGTCTTCTGTGATTGCTAAATACTGCTTGTTATCCCAGTAGTACAATCTAGTTGGCAGGCATCAAACTGGTGATATTTTTGAACAGTGACACAACAGATTCCACATGAGAGAGGCCCAGAAAATCCTTGGTGCTATCTTTTCCCGACAGCTGTTTCACTAGAGACTGTGGGGAACCTAACAACCAGGCCTTCCTATTAGCCTGATATGGAAAAAGCATGAGACCTCCTACTGGAACGAATGAAGAATGCAAACACCCCACTGTACTACGGGTACAATGTCAAGGTACAGAGCTGCCCCAAAAGGCACCCTGGAAGCCTGTAAGGGCACACTGATTTTAGCTATTTTACATAGATATACCACCAACAGTATGGGGAACAGAGCTTTGCTGCAGTAGGACCAAATGTTCTAGCCTATTTTTAAAAAGGAATTAGTTATATTACAGGCATTTCTAAAAAACCCTCTGTTTACCTATGTCAAGTCTAGAGTGGTGAAGGCACTTTACATTTCTCCTTGCATCTCTCCTATCCCGACTAGTGGGTATAGACATAGCTCATGCCAGAAATTTTCTTGTAGAATTTTCAATAGCCATTTAAATAAAAACAACAAACCACAAATGAGGAAACTGCACTGAAAACAGGATATTTGTATCGCTTAGAATTTCATCTCCTCTCGCAGGTCACAGTGACTCTGCAGAACAGCCCCAACACCCCCCGCTGATGCCACGTATCTGCCTGCCTGAAAGAGGGAGAAATCTAGATTTTTTTTTTCCTTTTAAATCCACATCAACTTCCCAAACTTCGCAAAAGAAAAGACATCAAAGATCCCTCTTGAGATATTTTGGGGCATGGAAAACCTGCCAACCCACCCACCCTATTCCATCACAGCATGGTGATCCAGGCCTGCCCTTAAACCCTGGAGCACGCATTCCCACATTCTGCCTCTAAGTGCCCCACTTACTGTGGGACAAACAGCAAGAAACAGCAAGAAACAGCTGGGCAAAGTTCAAGTAACTGGATTTTGGGCAAGATTTAAGCAGCAAAAGAAAACTTGAGATTCATTCCACTGTGGAAAAATTTGCTACATTGCTGCAGTGCAATTGACCCTTGAACCTAATCACATGTGTGAATGCATCATAGGTAGTGCCTTGTAAATGCCAGTAAACCCCGAGATTGAGTGCTGAGTGAAGCCAAAAACCTTCTGGTACGAGTTCTGCCAGCTTTATAACTGCAATTCAATTTACTTCTTGAGAGAAAAGGTTAACAGGAGTGTAAGTAGCAGCTTTTCAAGAAGACTTTGTTCTTGAGGAGATTTATTCTTAAATAAGCTTCAGAGAAGCCACTGTCCCATGCCTCATGAGTATTAACTGTTGCCTCTTCTGTGTTTCTTTATTTTTCCTTTCTGCAATAATTTCCCATTTCGTAACCAACATTTTAACCCTTCACCTTATGAGGCTAAAACTTGCTTTCGTTTCAAGCTTGTCCAACACTTAGGGTCAGCTGGGATCTGCTGAAGCGACAGATTCACGGCACATTTCACATTCAGGCACACAGACAAATGCCCTGCTTCATCTGCAGCCCAGTAAATTGCAAGGACCCATTTGAGCGCCAGAAATATTCTCAGCAGTTTAACACATACCTCTCTAGGCAATTGTAGAGAGCTGTGGGGAAAAGCTACTGTTGCCACAGCAGCTGCCAAAACCCAGGAGCACAGAGAACAACTTCCCTACCCCTTTTTATGCCACAGGAGGTACCTGGAATTGCTTGGGAGCCACGCACAGCACCTTTCTGCTAACTGACTGCAGCAAACAGAGCTCGTTCCCTCTGTTCCCCCTTCTCCTGAGCCGTACCCACACGTGGCCATTGCGCCAGGAGCCCTGTTGGACCAGGCAGCAGCTCACCGTTCGGTTCCCCTTCTATTTTAAAGTGCCACCCACACTGATGAGGTTTCTGAGTTATGTACAAAAATCAGCCAGCCAACAAGAAACAAGCACACATTTACACTGTAGTAGCGCTCTCAAAGGCTTGGAAATACCACCGCATCAGTTACCTACAGAACCCTGACCTGGCCTCCTCGCACAAGGGCTTCAAGAGAAGATGCGCAGCTATGCAACTGCAGATTGGTTTCCTCCACAGGCCACTTGGCCCACAAAAGGAGAGAAACAGCTGATAAGCGTGTTCCGTCAGTTGTCCCTGACTTGTCCTCTTCACACAGGAGGAGACTGCAGAATTAGTCACCTCCCCTATTTTTCCCCCACCTCCTTAGGTCATTTGGCATCACAGCATCCACGAGCATCACACGTATCTTAAAATGTCGTCTTCACTGTGACGGAAGAACACTGTTTATGTGCTGGGGAAATGGGTAAAAAAAGATCTGGATCAGGCAGCCAGAACATCAACACCCTCCACCCTCAACCTGACTGAGCATCTCTGGGCAACCCCAGCTCTCCTGGAAGACCACCTGAACTGTCCTTTGCAAGGCAGCCTCAGGGGAACAGAGCATCTCAGAGCCTGCAGCTTTGGAGAGGGCTACTAGACAGCGCTGATGGCTTTAAAGATTGCTGGAGGTGGCCCAGGCAAGGGTTGGGTGGGTAATATGACGGACTGGTGGTGCCTAAAAACCCGAGGAAGTCAAACACCTCTGGTCCCTGCTGGACCAGCTCCCTTTCCCTGGCATCTCTGACAGAGCTCAGTACCTCTGCAAACCAGGGCCCAGCCCAGCATAACACAGGCACCCAGAAAGCTTGGGACAGACAATGCAGCTTTCTGCTACAATGACCTGTTCATAAGTTTTCAGTACCCTCAGCTTTCACGCACTCCATAATGGGTTTCTTCAATTGCCTCCACATGTGGGCTCTAAACTGGGGCTAACAGAAGAAACGGCAGTCTGATTCTGCACAACCCTTTATCTCAAACAGCAGCAAAGCTTATGCCCTGAGTTTGGAGCACTGGTATACCCATGGCAATACAGAACCAGGCAGAGCAGCCCATTTACCACTTTTGACAGAATAAACCGCTGACACACCAGGGGTGAAAAGAGCTGGGGTGCCAACTGCTGCCAGAATGCGTATTCAGAGCAGCCCGCTCCTGGCTACGCTTTGTAGCCAGAAGGTGCAGATGGATGGGAATAGCTGCCTGTGTGAACTGTCTGTTAGCACTCCAGAGCATGGCTGTGTTGTGACAGTTCGGTACTGGGTTTGGGAGCAGCCTGACCCAGCTCTCCTTCCAGCTCATGCTTCCCAAGTGGGCTGCTTGCATTTAACCCTCAGTAGTGTTTGCATGCTGCTGTGTGGCCCAGCCCCAGGCTAGAGTGTTGCTGTTTGGATATTACTTTGGCACACTGATGATTTCTGAGGCACGTGAACTAAACTGTGGAGGAGGGTTTTTCAGTATTTCAGCCCCAATTAAATCTGGGCAGATTTCAAGGGACACAGCAAAACCGTGACCCCCAGATTTACTCCTTTCAAGTTTCAAAGGTGTGTGGCACATAGTGGATACACTGAAGCTTCCCAAAAGGTTACAAAAATTCCTTTAAATTTGTGGGACACTAAGTACATATATTGTTACAATCGACCCCTTTCCCAATAGCATCAGCCTAGACTCACAATGGCACTGGGTTATATTTGAAATACAAAGAAACATGCAGAAATTTCATCAACTCCCTCCCTGAAACACATGTTCTTGGAAGCATCCCAGAGCTTACAAGACATCTTAAAACAAATGTTCACACCAGGCAGGGAAGAGAAAGAGAGCCAAGTTACAGAAGTTATCAACTTCCTAGGGGGGTTACTGACATCCTGGGCTTGCAAACCTATTCCCAGCATCTTGATTCATCAGGCTTTGAGGACGCACAGAAACAGTGGTTTTTAATATTGCAGCACTGTGTGCGAAGGGGGCAGAGCTCTACTCCCAAAGGCCCCGTTCCTAAGAGGTACTGAAGTTTATGACATCTCCCAAGAGAGCTGGTTCTCTGCCAGCACACACTGCTGGAAAACAGGAAGGAGATAACAACTGACGAGATGTCCAAACATTTTGAAAATCACTGAACTCTGTTCAGAGGTAAAGAAACTGTCATTTCCAGATTGACAGGCAGAAATAAAGTTACGCACTGGAGTTTCTGCAAATGCCATTCCAAAATACTAGGTATTTAATATATAGACAAATTTTTATATACAAATGAAAAAAATACTAAGCCAGTATGCACCTCCATCCAGTTTCCATCAAATCATCTGTAAGCACCATATTTTTCTGTGTCTAGGTCACATGAGAAAATACTGTCCTCCTTCAAGGAGGGTTAACTGCTCTTATGTTCTTTGAATAGCTGTTACCAACCTGACAAAAAGCAGCACAACACTAAGGAACCTCTTTTTTGTTGCAACCGCAGTGTCATCGCATTGTACCTTCACCGGCTCCCTTTCCCATGGCTCCGCTAGTAGTGGCAAGCTCCACTTGCTTTCTCTTCTACCAAATTCACAGACAGCTGTGAGAGGTTGGAACATGGCTTCTTTTAGAGATGGTAACAGACGTCAGTTGGCCAAACTGATTAACCTAATCACCAAAGGATGAAATGGATCTTCCATGTCCTGGCTGAGCTGAAGCTGAGCCATGGTCCTGAACGCCGACCTGATGCAGAGCCACAAAGCATTTCTAACATAATGTAAAAACGACAAAACCAAGCCATGGTCGCAGATAATACCACAGATGGCAGTATGTTCTATTTTGTGTGCTGATATAAAAGTGAGGGTTTTACATACTCAGAACGTAAACCACAGGAGCACAGTTGAGCCTTGATCTCTGTGAGTGAAATTCACAGATAAGCAGAAGTT